TCCTCAATGGGGCTTTTTGCCGTTCCCCTCGGGCTGCGCTGCCCCTGGGCTGGGGAGGTTCCTCCTTGGACTAGAGACTCGATCGCTCCTCTGCTGAGATGGCTTGTGAAGCGCAAGGGGCAGCCGCCCAGGAGAGGCTGCGCAGGGGAACGGAATGATGCTGCCCTTGCTGTAGCCTGCAAAGCTACCAGGAAAGACGGAACCATGTGGTGCAGGTGCTGTTGGCTAGGCAGGCGCAGTATTTTATACATGGAAGAGGTATTCTGACTAACTCCCATTAGCATTTCCAATACTGTTTTTTCTCAGTATTGGAAAGATGTGTTGCAAAACACGCGTAGAGTAGCGTGGGTGTAAACGCAGTTAATTATTTTAAAATCATTTTTCTGTCTCTGCAACCATTTTAAATTTGTAAGGCCAACAAGCCTTTTGCTAAATATGGATTTTCTTCTCTTTCCTTAGGTAATTCATCCAGAATCTTTTAAACTGATAACACATTGTCTTAGCAATTTACAGAAATTTTCTGTGTGATGTTTGATCAAGAAATCTAAGGTACCATATCTGGTTAATTTAGAAATGTGTTTATTGAACAAAACTTGAAAGTCTGACTCTTCAGTTAGACAAGGCCTGTCAGCTGGAAGGATGATGGCTGTGATGCATGATATTGAGTGGAAATAGCATGCAGAATTCAGAAAAATGCACAGAGTTTTCTCCTTCCCTCCCTCTTCAGGCTGCTCAAGAATATAAAATTGGAGGATACAAAGGTCTGGAACTTACATTTACAGTATGACCTACTTCTCGGGTAGGTCAAATTACTTGAAGGATGTGCTGGAAATCTTAACGTATATTTGTGGGATACTGTTCCTGGAATATCATTCTTGTTAATAATTAGAAACTTTTTATTCAAGCATTAGTAGACACCTACAAGTAATTACAGTTCAGAAAGTAGTGGATTTGATACAGTAAAACCACTCTCATGAGCAAAACCAAGTTATCCCAGTAAAAGCACACATGGATAGTATAGTTGCATCTCCATCAGTGATGACTTCTCGAAAAGCTGTGCTGATCAGGGATCCACACCTCTTCGCACTCTTGTCTGATATGATTGTGCCTGCAGGAGTCAGTAGCATATATCTGGACTTATCTTTATGAGAACTGTTCAAAACCAAATAATTGTTAGTGTATGGGGGTTGAAGGGAGGGCAGAACGAAGGATCATCTGGAGAATATCTTTAAAAAAGGAGCAAGTTTCCCAGGTGAGTAGGTGTTCCAAAGGAGCAGATCAGAAACAGTCTGCAGTTCATAAGTATACAGGCAGAAAATGGAGTAGCTTGTATAAATAGAAAAGACAGCGTGAAAAGTAGTTGCTTGATCAAATTAGAAGGCACACTGAGGACTCTTACGTTTCTGAAATTTGACTTGGTGATTGGACAAATCTAGTGTTACAGATATCTGAAAGTGCCTTTCAGAGCCTCCATATTGTAAATGACAAGTATGTGAAGGTATGGTCACTTCCATTGTGACTACATCTGATCTAAAAAATAAACGTCAGTACTAGAGTTCTGTGCATTTTAGATGCAACACAGCCTGCATTTTATTTAGGAATACCACAAGATAAGCAGATGGTTTGACAGTGGAAGAATTCATTTGTTTGTTTCATACACCATATTTTTTCTGCTAAGTACATGAATGTTAATAAGCTTGTTTTAATATGACACTGTCCTCTCTGACAGGTGCTTCAGTATAGCAATAAAAGATCAAGTTCCCTGTGAAAAGTTGCTCATGCTTTAAAGCAAAACAATTGCTAAACATTAAAGGGATGCTGATGAATCAGACTGGGCCAAAAATTTAGTTTTTGTTAATATGAAAGGACGCTTTTATAGAAGTTTAAACAGGTAGAAATATTTCTATGGTTTAATTTAAATTCCAAAGAAATAGTCTCTCTCTGTATATAGAGACAGATAATATTACAAATAAACTTTCTTCTCTAGTGTTGAGAACATTGTGACATTATGTTAGTGCCCAAGAATTGGAATATGAAATAAATTAGAAATTGTTACTTTCACTATCCAAATTGTGTGAAATGTGAAAAGTAAACATCATTAAGAGATTAAAAGTAAACGTAACTTTTAAAATTCTTTCCCTTTTAGTCTTGGGTGTTTACTAACTTACTTACTTACATTATTACTTGAGTTAACGTAATAGTGTTTTGTAAAATCTGTATGTTTAACCTGTATCTTTGGCTCCTTTTTAATCTGCATGAGTACATCCATTAGTTTCCTCATTTACTGTTCCCTTATTTTGGTTTGCTTTTGTCCTTTAGGTCTGCCAAAATGTCCGAAAGATCAGATATCCTTCACTTCAAGTTTGACAATTATGGAGATTCAATGTTACAAAAAATGAACAAACTGAGAGAAGAAAATAAGTTTTGTGATGTTGTAGTTCACATAGACAATGTTGAGGTTCATGGACATAAAATTGTGTTTGCTGCAGGCTCCCCCTTTTTAAGGGATCAGTTTTTGTTGAATGACTCCAGAGAGGTTAAAATCTCCATTCTGCAGAGTTCAGAAGTGGGAAGGCAGTTGCTTTTGTCCTGTTACAGTGGCATTCTGGAATTTCCTGAGCTGGAGCTGGTAAATTATTTGACTGCTGCAAGCTTTCTTCAGATGAGCCACATTGTGGAACGATGTACACAGGCTCTCTGGAAGTTTATAAAACCTAAGAAGCCATTGGAGAGCAAGGAGGATTGTGAACAGCAAAGTGATTCTTCTGACTTGAAAGAACACCAAGGAGATGAGGATTCTCTGCAGCAGGATTCACTATGTATTCAAACCTCAGAAGACAGTATGGACATGGAAGATAGTGACATTCAGATTGTGAAGGTGGAGTCTATTGGGGAGGTGTCTGAGGTGAGGAATAAAAAAGATCAAACCCAGTTTATTTCTTCTGAACAAACTGCTTTACATTCATCAGAGCCTCAGCACTTTTTAATCAATTCCACTGTGGAAAACAGAACGAGCGAAATAGAACAAAGTCATCTTCACAACTATGCCCTTTCTTATGCTGGCAGTGACAACTTCATCATGGCCTCTAAAGACATGTTTGGTCCTAACAACAGAGGTATAGACAAAGGTCTCCAATGGCACCACCAGTGTCCCAAATGTACTAGAGTATTCCGGCATCTGGAAAACTATGCTAATCATTTAAAAATGCATAAACTGTTCATGTGTCTGCTGTGTGGTAAGACGTTCACTCAGAAAGGCAATCTCCACCGACACATGAGAGTACATGCAGGGATCAAACCTTTTCAGTGTAAGATCTGTGGGAAAACCTTCTCTCAGAAATGTTCTTTACAGGACCATCTCAATTTACACAGTGGAGACAAGCCTCATAAATGTAACTATTGTGACATGGTCTTTGCACATAAACCTGTTCTGAGGAAACACCTTAAACAGCTGCATGGCAAAAATAGTTTTGACAATGCCAATGAAAGAAATGTTCAAGATATAACTGTAGACTTTGATTCTTTCAGTTCTAGCACTGCCACCGACAGTAAGGTCTGTCAACAGGCTGATGCAAGCCAGATACTGGATGCGGGGAAATTGGCTCAAGCTGTGCTCAATTTAAGGAGTGATAGCACCTGTATCAATTAAAAACATTCATTCAAGCAGCCCTTTATAGGCCTCATGAAGCAAGGAACAAAAGTTTGGATTTGGGCCTGTCACCAAGGCAGATGGTATGACATAAAAGGTGTGCAGGTGGATGATTGAATTACAAAACCTAGCAAGTTGTCAGCCTTCATTCTAGTCTTGTTATTTTTTGTGAGTAGCAAACTAGAATGCAGGTTCCTGTGTGTGTCCCTATTGGTGAGCATGGGGTTATATTCTGGATTTGTAACTTTGGATCACTTAATCTGATTTGAAGATTTGGGTCTGTTATCTTTTTGAAGGATTCTTGCTGTGAGTAGTCACCAATTAAACTGTGCTGTGAAGGGCTGCTGTATGTATGGGAAGATGGAAGAAATAGCAGAGAGGATAAGCCTATGAGATAAAACCTGACTTTTTTTCCAAAAAGCACTGGATACCTGAGTTATGTAGTTCAACTGCTAATTTGTTTGTCTGTTAAATCTTCAGTTATTTGCCTTCCAGTCATACCCAAATCCCTAAAGTTAAAATTAAATACTTTTTTCCATGTATCACTTTTTTTGTCCCTTCTAAACTGTGTAATTGAATTTCCTCTGCAAATCAGCCCTATGTAGCAACTTTCAAGATCATTGGCATAGATGTGTGTTTATAAAGAACTAAGGCCCTAAATGATCTAGGTGGGTCAGATAGTGATTACATGGTACTGTTTGTAATGAAAACAAATTGCAGATCTTTAGAATATGAGGTTGATTGTCTAGAGACAGATATGACTGTTGTTGCTGTAGAGATACCCAGAGTGTGCTTTGACAACATAAATAACTCAGGTGATAACTTGAATGCTACCTCTAGCTCAGCTCCCATCTGCACACAGAATTCTTTAGCTCATGTTAAGTGGTGCTTAAACTCTAGCTGGCCTGTTGAGGGGCAGTTAGAAGCACAAGGGATGGTGATGCTAATGCTAGTAACTCTGGGGATGAGACAACAAACATGTAGAGGGCACCAAGAGACTAAACAACACGCAATGTGGACTTGTCAAAAAGAAATCAAGGCAAACCAAATTAATTTCCTTCATTGATTAAGTAACTGGCTAGTGTGTGCTTAAACTCTAGCTGGCCTGTTGAGGGGCAGTTAGAAGCACAAGGGATGGTGATGCTAATGCTAGTAACTCTGGGGATGAGACAACAAACATGTAGAGGGCACCAAGAGACTAAACAACACGCAATGTGGACTTGTCAAAAAGAAATCAAGGCAAACCAAATTAATTTCCTTCATTGATTAAGTAACTGGCTAGTGTGGAAGCTAGTGTGGAAGCAATTGATACATCTCCCTCCCCC